ATTTGCCAAAACTGTTCACACAGAATTCTGGTGCAGCTTCTAGGTTTTATTGGACAAAGCTTAATTGAACTGAGCTGAAGTTAGAAGCTGATTGGTTACTGTGCACAGCTGCACCAAATTCTGTGTGCTCCATTTTTAGTAAATCTCCCCCTATATGTCACTTTCTGTAATTAAAATGTGTGCTTTACCAGCCTTGATTGTATGTCTTGGCTCAGCTAGAAATGAAGGCTGACTGAAGCTTTTCAGTGCTGATGCTCACGGGAGAGAATATCACGGAGATAAGGTAAAACACAATCCTTGTAAGTTTAACTCTTTTGTGTCTCCCAGGCAACAGAGTTTTTCCTTTCACCACTCCTGCTTTTCTTTTTTCCCTACCTAATCTGTGTTCCCTTGTCACAGGCTGTGTCATTCCTGTTGCTTTCTTTCCCATTCAACAGTATACAGCAACAGTAAATCTTAAATCTGTCAGCTGATTGGCCTCTAGTGGCTCTAATTTTAGGCACAGTGCCGGGAATGGAGAGCAACTGAGCATGTGCATTAATGGATTTTATAAGCAGCTGTTTTTAATGTTTTACCTGCAAAAGGGACCAGCCTGAAGTGATCTAGAAAGACTTCCATTTTCTGATTAAAGTTCCACTTTAAAAATAAATAGCAATAAAAAAACCTATAAATCAAACACCAATAAAGGTTAATGGGTGCATGTGCAGTGGCATTTCTCTTTATTTCCATTCACACATGGGCACACTGATGTCCAGCTGAGCACAGATACAGTCACGAGTGTCTACAATAATGAGATCCAGCTTCCTGCTTTTTATTAACCACTTTAATACTTCCTCCCCAGGCCAATTTTCAGCTATTAATACTGCCACACGTTCAATTACAATTGCGCGGTCATGCAACACTGTACCCATATGATTTTTTTTTTTAGACAGAGATTTCTTTTGGTGGTATTTAATCACCACTGTTTTTTATAAATTTTTGCTAAACAAAAGAAAAACAATGAACATTTTGTAGAAAAACAAAATCATTTTTCTTAGTTTTTATTAGTAAATTTAGCAAATATGTATTTCATTTTCACTGATGTGCCCTGATGAGGCTACACAGATGGGCACTGTTGAGGCTACACAGATGGGCACTGAAGAGGCTGCACTGATGTTCACTGATGAGGCAACACTGATAAGGCTGCACTGATGGGCAGTGATGAGGTGGCACTGATGGGCACTGATAAGCTGCACTGATGGGCACTGATGAGGAGGCACTGATGATTTGACACTGATGGGCACAAAAGAGCTAGCACTTATGGGACCTGATAGGCAACATTGATGGGCACCGATATGCTGCAAAGATGGGCACTGAGTGGCACTGATGAGGTAGCACTGATAAGGAGGCACTGATGGGCAGTGATAAGCTGCACTGATGAGAAGGCACTGATGAGGTGACACTGATGGTCATCAATAGCTAGCACTGATAGGACCTGATAGGCAACACTGATGGGCACCGATATGCTGCAAAGATGGGCACTGATTGGCACTGATGAGGCAGCGCTGATGGGCAGTGATGAAGCAGCACTGATGGGCACTGATAAGCTGCACTGATACTGATGAGGTGCACTGATGGGTACCAATAGCTAGCACTGATGGGACCTGATAGACAACACTGATGGGCACCAATAGCTGCAGCACTGATTGGCACTGATGAGGCAGCACTGATAAGGCGGCAATGGGCAGTGATGAGGGCACCAATGATGGGTACTGCATGAAAGGCATGATGAGGTGACACTGATGGGCACAATAGCTGCATGATGGGACCTGATAGCAGCACTGATAAGGAGGGCACTGATGGGCAGTGATGGGGCAGCACACTGATGGGTACTGATGAGAAGGCACTGATGAGGTGACACTGATGGGCACCAATAGCTAGCACTGATGGGACCTGATAGGCAACATTGATGGGCACCGATATGCTGCAAAGATGGGCACTGATTGGCACTGATGAGGCAGCACTGATAATCAGTGTAAACCATGTACTGACAGCCTTGCTGGTTATCGGCTCTCCTTTCCTCAAACACACAGCATGCTTTTCTGTAGCATTTCCATTGAAGTCTATTGAGCCAAAAATGCAACTTATTGTGTTAAAAAAAAGTCCCTGACCCTTTCTAATTAATGCTCTGGGTGAAAACGTGGAGATGTGATCCTGGCCCATAGGAAATCATTTTAAATGGACTGTACTGCGTTTCTGCAAAACTCTGAGGAAAATGCTGTTATCCTATTCTACATGATCTATAAAAATGCGAAGAAAACGCTAATGCACCTAAATGCTTCTAAACGCTACTAAAATGCTATTACCAGCGTTTTTTTACCCAGCAATTTTTTCCAGCATTTTTTAGCTTAAAAAAAAAAAAATGCTAGTATACATGGAGCCACTAGCTTTTTTTAAGCTCCTAGAAGCTATTATCAGCATATTTCTTTCTGCTCCTACAAGCTGATTAGTGTTCTCCTATGTATCCATTCACACTACTTTAGGCTATTAGCATGTTTTGAGCTTCAGCATTTAGGAGCAGAAAAAAAAAATAGATTTTGTAGAGTTTTTTTAGAGCATTTTTTAAGTAGAAAAAAATGCTAACAGCTACTAAATGCTGATAAAACGCTCCTAACAGCTATTTTACTAGCTTTTTTTCTACATGTACTGTAAAAAATGCTAATAAAATGCTAATGCTCATAAAGACTTCTAAACGCTACTAGAAATGCTATTACCAGTGTTTTTTACATAGCGCTTTTTCCAGCATTTTTTAAGCCTAAGGCTCCATGCACACAAGCATTTTTTTTAAGCTCCTAGAAGCTATTGGCAGCATATTTGTTTCTGCTCCTAGAAGTTGAATAGTAATATCCTATGTGTCCATGCAGACTATTTTAGGCTATTAGCATTTTTTTGAGCTTCAGCATTTAGGAGCAGAAAAAAAAATTGTTTTTGTGGAGTTTTTTTGGAGCGTTTTTCAAGCAGAAAAAAATGCTAAATGCTATTAAAACTCTAACAGCTTTTTTCTAGCTTTTTTTTTTTACGTACCGTAAAAATACTAACGCTCTTAAACGCTACTAGAATTGCAACTAAAATGCTATTACCAGCGTTTTCTACCCAGCAGTTTTGTCCTGCTTAAGAAACCGCTAGTGTGCATAGAGCCTGAGGTTCTGAGCTCACTGGCATCTTTAACCCCTTCACTCCTAAGGGTAAAACAAATCTAAATGCCTAAGCACAATTCTGCAACGCTGACATGTGATAGTAAAACCGTACATATCACCACAACTACTTTGTACATCCAGGTGGAATATACTGCGGTTTTTTTCAGGACAAATTGGGCTTTCATTTGGTGGTAAATGGTAATGGATAGCGCCTGATTTTTTTTATTATCAAACGAAAACTGTCCCAAAATCATTTTTTTTTATTTAGCTGTGTGTTTCTTGTTACGACCATAACCTACCACCAAAGAACAACCTAAAATAAATTCTCCAGCTCTTGACGATCGCAGCAATACCATATATGTGTATGTTATTTGTTGTTTGTACCCGTAGTACAGCCCAGAAACAATAGTGCGCTTTTTGTTTTTGTCTCTTTTTTTTTTTACCTAAAACACACTGACACTAACTGACACTGATACCAATTTTTTTTTTAAAATCCTGACCTTTAACCCTGACCTTTTGACCTTGACCTTTGACCCAAACACTAACCCTGGCACTGAACTAGATCAAACCTTGATCTAGGTACTTTTTCTTTATTTTCACTTTTATTTTTTAATATTTATCTTTTTTTTTTTATGAACATTTTTTTCCCTCTATTGCAGGCCATGGACGGGTCGAAAATCGGGCAAAAAAAAAAAAAAAATCGATTTTCACACTGTTCATGGGTAAATTGGTCGGCCGTTTTTTTTGGGTTTTGGCACATTTTTTCTATCGGTAAAGTTGGAAAAAAATCAGCAGATTTTGCAGATTGGGCGATTTTCCCGGCAATGATGGGCAAATTGGCCAATTGTTTTACTAATAAAAAATCTGCACATGAGCCGTGACCTGCGAGAAAAAGAAGCAGAAAAGAAGAAAAAGAAGACAAAAAAGAAGAAAAGAAGACAAAAAAGAAGAAAAAGAAAAAGAAGACAAAAAAGAACAAGAAAAAGAAGACAAAAAAGAAGAAAAGAAGACAAAAAAGAAACAGAAAAAGAAGACAAAAAAGAAAAAGGAAAAGGAAGAGGAAGAAGAAGAAGGAGAAAAAGAAGAAGAAGGAGAAGAAGAAGGAGAAGAAGGAGGAGAAAAAGAAGGAGAAGAAGAAGACGAAGAATTCCAGTCCGCTATTATATTTTATATGAAAAAGTATTGTGGTTACAACAATGTATCTATTTGTATCCGAATAAAAACATCTGTATCTGAAATGGATACAAATAGATACATTGTTGCAACCGCAATACTTTTTCATGTCAAATATAATAGCAGAGCTCTCTGCAAGGGACAGAAGTAATTAAATGCTGGCTGTAGATGGGACAAAAATCGTCCGATTGGTGGTAACGTTGGCAGATCGAACGACTGATTTTTTTTTTTTGTTTAAACGGCTGGTTTTTGACCTGCATTAGCCAGGAGTTAGAGAGATACAATGTATCTCTCTTCTACATTCATAGAGAGAGAAAAAAAACAAGGGGGGCGGGCTATACAGTGGCTGATCACTGTGATAGCCAATCAGAGGCTATCACAGCGATCATGTGACCCACAATCGGGAGTCCCGGGTCCCGATCGTTAGAACGCAGTGCAGTGTGGCACGCTCCCAGTACAAGACAGGTACCCAAATATACGGCCTCACAAAAAGCCCAGTTCTGTGAGGCCGCATATTTGTGTGATGTCAGCGGGAAGGGGGTTAAGCTCCTAGAAGCTATTGTCAGCCAGGGGCGGACTGACCATTTGGAAACTCAGGCACTGCCCAAGGGCCCGGGGTCAGTAGGGGGCCTCATGAGATGCCCCTGGTACCTTTTTCATAGGCTTTTTTGAGTTTGGCCAAGGACACAGGGGCCCCATGATCCCCTATTGCCCGGGGGCCCCATAAGTTGTCAGTCCACCCCTGGATGTCAGCATAATTCTTTCTGCTCCTAGAAGCTGAATAATATTACCCTATGTGTCCATTCACACTACTTCAGGCTGTTAGCACTTTTTGAGTTTCGGCATCTAGGAGCAGAAAAAAAATTGTTTTTGTAGAGTTTTTTTAAGTGTTTTTTTCCAGCATTAAGATGCTCCTAACAGCTTTTTTCTAGCATTTTTTTCCCCTGTACTGTACTGTAAAAATGCTAATAAAATGCTAACGCACCTAAATGCTTTTGTACACTAATAAAACACAACTAAAAAATGCTGTCACCAGTGTTGTTTTGTTCAGCATTTTCCCCAGCATTTTTTGAGCTTGTGTGCATGTGGGAGGGGCCCATGTCAGGTAAGCTGTACATTGCCCAATATTTTCTAATGGTGGCCCTGGCATCAGCTGCTCTGTTCTCTGGCACCTCAATGACAGATGTGACTGCAGCGTCAGAAGGAGCAGGCACCATGCACACAGAGCATTTTTGCAGCCACTTTTAGGGTGTCAGGCATTTTTTTGTTTACTGCTTCCAAACGCCCCTCCATGTTATCCTATGTGTCTGTGCACACATGGACATTTAGAAGCTTTTAGTAGCAGTAATGTTTGCCAGCAGGAGCCAGGCAACCAGCACTGCCAGAAGGAGCTCAGGCCATGGCCTCCCTCTCTGCACACTTTACACCTCAATAATATTGTCCCTGGAAGTGATCCTGATCTGTAGGGACTGTCATGGCTTTATGAAGATTGCTGTCCCTGGAAGTGATCCTGATCTGTAGGGACAGTCATGGCTTTATGAAGATTGCTGTCCCTGGAAGTGATCCTGAACTGTAGGGACTGTTGTGACTTTTTTGAAGATTGCTGTCCCTGGAAGTGATCCTGATCTGTAGGGACTGTCATGGCTTTATGAAGATTGCTGTCCCTGGAAGTGATCCTGATCTGTAGGGACTGTCATGGCTTTATGAAGATTGCTGTCCCTGGAAGTGATCCTGATCTGTAGGGACTGTCATGGCTTTATGAAGATTGCTGTCCCTGGAAGTGATCCTGATCTGTAGGGACTGTCATGGCTTTATGAAGATGCTGTCCCTGATGAAGTGATCCTGATCTGTAGGGACAGTCATGGCTTTATGAAGATTGCTGTCCCTGGAAGTGATCCTGAACTGTAGGGGACTGTGGTGACTTTTTTGAAGATTGCTGTCCCTGGAAGTGATCCTGATCTGTAGGGACAGTCATGGCTTTATGAAGATTGCTGTCCCTGGAAGTGATCCTGATCTGTAGGGACTGTCATGGCTTTATGAAGATTGCTGTCCCTGGAAGTGATCCTGATCTGTAGGGACTGTCATGGCTTTATGAAGATTGCTGTCCCTGGAAGTGATCCTGATCTGTAGGGACTGTTGTGACTTTTTTTACCATCCCTGAAGATTGCTGTCCCTGGAAGTGATCCTGATCTGTAGGGACTGTCATGTTTATGACTTTTTTGAAGATTGCTGTCCCTGGAAGTGATCCTGATCTGTAGGGACTGTCATGGCTTTATAAAGATTGTTGTCCCTGGAAGTGATCCTGAACTGTAGGGACTGTGTTGACTTTTTGAAGATTACCATCCCTGGAAGTGATCCTGAACTGTAGGGACTGTCATGGCTTTATGAAGATTGCTGTCCCCTGGAAGTGATTATGATCTGTAGAGATTGTCATTGTGGTTTGCAGATTACAGTCCCTGGAAGTGATCTAGGTCTGTAGTCCCAGCTTTTGGCAGACTGCTATCCCTGCTAGGTGGCTCTGATCTTCAAGGACCGTCTCAGTTTCTGTACATTTCCCCTGAACATGACTGTCCCTGGTAGTGATCTTGATGTGTAGGGACAGTAACACATTTTTTCAGATTGCTGTCCCTGGAAGTGTCTCTGATATACAGGAACTATTCTTGCTTTTTGAGAATTTATCCCTAACTGTGATCCCAATATGTAGGGACTGTCCCAGCATCTGCACCTTTCATGTCTGGACAATAATGTCCCTGGAACAGAAAAAAAAAAAAAAAAAAAAAAAGTATGGCATAGGAAGCCGAGAGCCAGGCAAGCAGCATTATCAGAAGGAGCTCCCTCCCTGCAGATTTCATTCCTGGACTTTATTGTCCCTGGACGTGTCTGTTATCTACAGGAGTTGGACCATCTTCTGCACATTACTGTCCCTGGAAGTGATCTGCATCTGTAGGAACAGTCAACATGGTTTGCAGACTGCTGTCCCTGGAAATGTTTGTGGTCTACAAGGACTGTCCTGGTTTCTGTACATATTATCCCAGGGACAGTCATAGCATTTTGCAGAGTATTGTCCCTGGAAGTGGCACTGATCTGCAGGGACTAGGTTTTGGAAATGTTGTCCTTAGAAGTGATTTGGATTTGTAGGGACAGTCATGGTGGTTTGCAGATTGCTGTCCCTGGAAGTGATTTGGGTCTGTAGGGACAGTCATGGTGGTTTACAGATTTCTGTCCTTGGAAGTGATCTGGATCTACAAGGACTGTCACATCTTCTGCACATTTCATCCCTGAATATTACTGTCCCTGGACGTGATCTGGATCTGTAGGGACAGTCATGGCCTTTGCATATTATTGTCCCTGGAAGTGACCTGGATCTTCACTGAGTATTCCAGCTTTTGAATATATTGTCCCTGGAAGTGACCTGGATCTATAGGGACTGTTCCATCATACATACTGTTCAGGGGCGGACTGACAACTCATGGGGCCCCCCGGGCAATTGGGGATCATGGGGCCCTTATGTCCTGGCCCACACTCAAAAACACACCCAAAAAAAGCCTATAAAAAGTACCAGGGGCATTTTATGGGGCCCCCTACTGACCCTGGGCCCTCGGGCAGTGCCCAAGTGCTCAAATGGTCAGTCCGCCCCTGATACTGTTACATCTACAGCAGGGGCGGACTGACCATTTAGCCACTCAGGCACTGCCCGAGGGCCCGGGGTCAGTAGGGGGCCCCATGAGATGCCCCTGGTACCTTTCATTGGCTTTTTCATAGGCTTTTTTGGGTGTGGGCGAGGACACGGGGGCCCATAATCCCTTATTGCCGGGGGCCCCATGAGTTGTCAGTCCGCCCCTGATCTACTGTACACTGCTGTCCCTGGAAGTGATCCTGCTCTATAGGGACAGTCATGGTGGTTTGCAGACTGCTGTCCCTGGAAGTGATCTGGGTCTACAAGGACTGTCACATCTTCTGCACATTTCATCCCTATTACAGACCTGAATCTGTAGGAACTGTCCCAGCTTTTTGCAGATTGCTGTCCCTGGAAGTGACCTGGATCTGTAGGGAAAGGTGTGACTTTTGCAGATTGCGGTCTCTGGAACAAATAAAAAGAAGGACTGGAGCAGTCCCGCAGTGGGCACAATGTAACAAGCGTGCGATCCCGCAGTGGGCACAATGTAACAAGCGTGCGATCCCGCAGTGGGTACAATGTAACAAGCGTGCGATCCCGCAGTGGGTACAATGTAACAAGCGTGCGATCCCGCAGTGGGCACAATGTAACAAGCGTGCGATCCCGCAGTGGATACAATGTAACAAGCGTGCGATCCCACAGTGGGCACAATGTAACAAGCGTGCGATCCCACAGTGGGCACAATGTAACAAGCGTGCGATCCCGCAGTGGATACAATGTAACAAGCGTGCGATCCCGCAGTGGGTACAATGTAACAAGCGTGCGATCCCGCAGTGGGTACAATGTAACAAGTGTGCGATCCCGCAGTGGGTACAATGTAACAAGCGTGCGATCCCGCAGTGGATACAATGTAACAAGCGTGTGATCCCGCAGTGGGTCAATGTAACAAGCGTGCGATCCCGCAGTGGGTACAATGTAACAAGCGTGTGATCCCGCAGTGGGTACAATGTAACAAGCGTGTGATCCCGCAGTGGGTACAATGTAACAAGCGTGTGATCCTGCAGTGGGTACAATGTAACAAGCGTGTGATCCCGCAGTGGGTACAATGTAACAAGCGTGTGATCCCGCAGTGGGTACAATGTAACAAGTGTGTGATCCCGCAGTGGGTACAATGTAACAAGTGTGTGATCCCGCAGTGGATACAATGTAACACGTGTGTGATCCTGCAGTGGATACAATGTAACAAGTGTGTGATCCCGCAGTGGGCACAATGTAACAAGCGTGCGATCCCGCAGTGGGTACAATGTAACAAGCGTGCGATCCCGCAGTGGGTACAATGTAACAAGCGTGCGATCCCGCAGTGGGTACAATGTAACAAGCGTGCGATCCCGCAGTGGGCACAATGTAACAAGCGTGCGATCCCGCAGTGGATACAATGTAACAAGCGTGCGATCCCACAGTGGGCACAATGTAACAAGCGTGCGATCCCACAGTGGGCACAATGTAACAAGCGTGCGATCCCGCAGTGGATACAATGTAACAAGCGTGCGATCCCGCAGTGGGTACAATGTAACAAGCGTGCGATCCCGCAGTGGGTACAATGTAACAAGCGTGTGATCCTGCAGTGGGTACAATGTAACAAGCGTGCGATCCCGCAGTGGCTACAATGTAACAAGCGTGTGATCCTGCAGTGGGTACAATGTAACAAGTGTGTGATCCCGCAGTGGGTACAATGTAACAAGTGTGTGATCCCGCAGTGGGTACAATGTAACAAGTGTGTGATCCCGCAGTGGCTACAATGTAACAAGTGTGTGATCCCGCAGTGGGTACAATGTAACAAGTGTGTGATCCCGCAGTGGGTACAATGTAACAAGTGTGTGATCCCGCAGTGGGTACAATGTAACAAGCGTGTGATCCCGCAGTGGGTACAATGTAACAAGTGTGTGATCCCGCAGTGGGTACAATGTAACAAGTGTGTGATCCCGCAGTGGGTACAATGTAACAAGCGTGTGATCCCGCAGTGGGTACAATGTAACAAGTGTGTGATCCCGCAGTGGGTACAATGTAACAAGTGTGTGATCCCGCAGTGGATACAATGTAACACGTGTG